TGGGCAGGGACACCTCCCACTAGACCAGGCTGCTCAAAGCCCCATCCAACCTGGCCTTGAACACTTCCAGGGACGAGCATCCACAGCTTCCCTGGGTAACCTCTTCCAGTGCCTCATCACCCTCACATTAAATAATTTCTTCCTAATACCTAATCTAAATCTTCTATCTTTCAGTTTTAAACTGTTTCCCCTCACCCTATCACTATGCTCCCTGGTAAAGAGTCCCTCCTCATCATTCCTGTAGGCCCTTTTCAAGTACCTGAAGGCTGATACGGACACCTCCTGTCTCTTCATCACTAGAGTGAACACATTTTACCCTGAATTTTTTTTTTTTCTGATTCTAGTCACTGGTAGAACAAGAGAATTACTGAAGATAACTGTTGGGTCATACTTTTACACTGTGCTTCTGAGTTGCTTTTGATTTTCAGGCAGATGTGCATGAGTCATTAATGATGTTTGTATGGAAGTATTAACCAGGGACCATCCTGGAGTCATACGCTGGGAAAAGCTGGTCAGTCATCTTGCCTGCCCAGCATCACACACAAGCCTAAGCAAGTGAGGAGTAACTTACATGTTTGGTACTGGAACAAGAATTAGTGGTGCGAAAATGTACATGGGTGCCTTGGATTGCTCAGGATAACTCAGTTAAAACACTGGGAAGACAACCCCAAATGATTGCTCCTCATTGCATACTTCTTAATTTATTTTTTATTCCACATGCTAGTACATCCTTGTCTAGTTTTGTGAGGGCACCAGTGTCAGCCAACATGAGGGGCTGTTCCCAAAATAAGAATAAATACATGTGTTTGTCCCTATAAATAGCACTTAGATGACTTCCCACACCATACATCTTAGGTCTTTGAGCACTTAACTGAATTCTTTGCTCTAATCTCACTATAAAATTGTTTGTAAAACTAACCCCAGTGCCTCTTGTGTTACAGGCTGTGCCCTGACCACGCAAATGGGTTATTTAGAATTTAGTATCACCCTCAATATGTAACGAGAGCTTTCAGGGGTTTGCTTCCTCTGCCTGGTGAGAAAATGTTCCTGATATTCCTCTCGTGCTGTCTTGATGGCTTTTAGAAATGACTTCTGGCAGTGTCTTTATTTTGTACATCCACCTGTGTTTTTCTTATCTGCTTCTCATTCTTTTTAAGGCAAGACTGGGAATAGGAGGTTAAGGGAAAAATCTGTTACTGATGTGATAAGGTTGATAAATAATTCTGAAAAGCTTTTATTTGGTGACACTGCGAGAAAATGATGACAGCTAATAGCTGCCTGAAGCTCCCCCAGGACAATGCAGGATTTTTTCACATTGAAGACAGAGGGGTTATTTTTGTATTTCTGCATATCTAAAGAAAAGCAGCAGAACCTCTGATAGCAAGGTCATTTTTTTCACACAGTAATGTCCCAGCAGATGGAAATGAAGTTGGTGGGATTTTGATTCTGTAAGAATTAGATAAAAACTTATTATGGACTTTGGAAGGTGGCCCAGTTGCTGGAAGTCCAGCAAAATTTCCTCCAACCACAGACTGCATGATAGTCTAATTTACTGGGGCTTTCCCATCCCTTATAGCAAAGCCAGCAACATTAAAGTAACATTAAGACTTCTCTGTCTTCCTAAACTCTGATTTTAAGGGAAAGGACAGCAAGACCACCTATATTTTGGCTCCCAACCACTCCCTGTGCCAGGATACCCTGGTGTTCCCCTCCCACATCCCACCTCCTCTGTCCTAAGGAGCTTTCTCCTTTCTCACATGCTTTGTGGTGTAGGTCCTCAGTGATTTGCCTCCTGGAGGAGCATCCATACTGTCCCCCTGTGCATGAGTTTCACCCCAGTCCCTCACCAAGCCAGGACCAGCCCTCACCCTGCACTCAGCCTGCTCTCAGGCAGGGAGCTGGTCTGGGGGGGATGTCCAAGCCCATGAGCTGTAATGGCTACTAACGCTTCTCAAGTTCTCACCAGTCAGGGAAAAGCAGTGCCAAAGAGTCTTTCTCCCCTGCGTCCAGCTTCCAGTAGCTCTGGCATCCTCCTGTGTGATGCTGACTCTTCATGTATCAGCACTTCCACCTGTGATCCCTGTGATGTGCTGCAGTGATCTCCCAGATACAGGGGTAGATACCCCAGACATGGAGTCCTCAAGCCATGCAGAGAAGCAGGAGAAGAGCTGGATGTGTGTAGGAAGGGGATTGAAAGGCTCTGGAGAGGTTGGGGCTCTTGCTGGGGTTCGTGTTTCTCTGTCCCTCTCCTTGCAGTGTCATAACCCTCCAGCTCTGTGCTGCTCAGCAGTTTGCTCCTACCTTCTGCTGCCACGAGCATGTATAAATCACAGCAGCCCTAACTTGTGCTCCTGTACCTTTGCCAAGGTAATTAGTACGGTGCACATTTTAAGAGAGTTATTTCTCTCTCTGGAGCAGCCTGCCAGCGCCTCGCCACGCACAGCACACTGCTCACACTAAAAGGCTTTATCAGAGCACTTTGGTTTTGTTTAAGGAAACTGCTGAGGAAGGCAAGAAATTAATGAAGGGCTGCCAGACTTCTTATACGGAGCCCAATGAGTCCTCTGGGGAAGAGGGACAGAGTGATGGCTCTGACTGCCTTTGGAGGAGCATTTTTCCTTCCTTCTGGACATCTCTATCCCAGCAGCCATCCTGACAGTTGCAGTGCTGGTGCTGTCAACTCCTGCCTTTCCAAAACCTTCAGTAGAGCACCCAAAATGTTGAGGGTTGTGACAAAAGAGAAGAAAGATGAAAATCAGTTTTTGTGAATTCCCCCTCCCCAAGACTGTGGGATGTAAGTGTTGATATTTACTACATTAAAGCTAGTTATATGAATGTTCTTCATAGGTACCTGTAGAGCTGGATCCTGGTTGTGGATCCATTTTCCGGTCAGCATATGTTTTTCCTCCATCACCCAGGTGCATAGTGGCTTTTAGGGTTTTCTTAAATGCACCATTTTAAATGAAATTGCTCATACACCACTGCCACGTGTTATCATGTAGAAGTTGCTGCACTGAGCCCTGCACACAAGCACATGCCCACTAAGTAGGTCTGCAGTCCTGCTCTGAACACGAACCCTTGTCTGGCATGAGGTTCGCTTACTTTTGATAACGGCAGCCATCCAGTGGGACACAATGAGAACTGGCTCATCTGTTTTGTAAGAGAAAGAGAGAGATTTCTGATTCAGTTGAACCAAAGTGGCTTCATTGTAATGCTGCAAACTTCAGCAGAGTTCTCCGGGTCAATACGAATCTGACGCAGATCAACATCTCACTCAGCATTTAAATTATTTATCCAGCACGCTGGCTCTTCAGAGCTAACAAAACATTGCTCCTTTCACCCTCAAGTGTTGAGTTGGTTCAAATAACCTCCAGGGCAGCCGGCTGGCTTTGAGTTATAAATAGCTTGAGTATTTCATGTCCTGTAGTTCCCTCCTCATTGCTCTCCTGTTGCTACAGGGTAGTGTTTCAGCTAGATCTTCAGCCTGGTGATAGTGGCTGCCTCTCTCCAATTAAATGCTTTATTGGTGTTGATTGACTCAGAGTTTAAGAAAACTGTAGAAAAAAGATAATTTCAATATCAGCAAAGTATATGAAAAAAGAATTTACACTGTAGACTAGAGGGAAAAATTGAGACTTCTCTATAGAGAGACAATAGAGACAGGAAGGCCTGTTTGACTGCGAGCAGGATGGGTTTGCTAAAACCTTGGTTCAGCCTTGGAGGTCAATTTGATGCTCTGCAACGTTGATATTAGAACCTGAAGAAGGGGAGTCTTTGCCAGCATGTCTGCACAGAGGGACAGGCTGCTGGCTGGACATGAGGGATCTCTGACACATGACTTTTGTCACTGCGTTTGCTTAATGTGGTCCCAGATGTGGTTTTCCCATGTCTGCAGGGCTGGAGCAGCTCTGTCTCAGCAGGACTGTCCTGCTGTCTGCAGCACTAGGAGTGTGCATCCTGAGTGTTCAGCTCAAACTAGGCAAATAATGTTCAGTGTCCTGCTTGTCCTGGGGCTAGGTTTTCTGAGGAGTCTGATGATAAACAGTGAAAACCAGGACAGGACTGTGGTTAGCCTTAGGCAAGGTAGGCAGTTTGATGTGGGCAGCAAGATCACTTGCAGAAGTGAGAAAGACTGGGAAAGACTCTCTCTGTGTCTCTGCAACTGCAGCAGGTCCATGTGCAGCCTGTGCAGGCTCTGCTGCAGAGGTGGAATGACTCTGTGGGGCTCCTTGTCCTGCTTGGCACCAGCTCTTCCTCCGTGTTGTGCTGGAGAAGAGGTCCATGCAGGTGACCAGTGGCTCCCCAGTTGTACCACAAACCTTCCTACACAGCTACAGTCTCTTGCACAATGTAGAGACCAGAGGTTGTGCTCAAAGCCTGTGCTGATGTGGGTAGCTAGGTAGGTGTCCTTGATTCCCAAGGCTCTGCTGTGCCTGCGTGTCTACAGAGCCACTGCACCTCCTCTCTGCCATCTGCATGGGAGTAAAGCCAGTGTAAGTGGCCTGTGTAAGGTACTGGGTGAGAACAGTCCAGAAGGACAACCAGAGCAGTGAAGCCAGTATGGAGAAGACTCCTGGGTGGGGAATGCTTGTGCTGAGGGATGAGAGGGACTGGTGCTCTGTGGATATAGCATGTAGCTCATGAAAACTCCTCTTTACTACATGTATAGGAGAGGATGGAAGGGCTCATGGCTGTGTAATAAAACAATTCCTTTGGCTAAACAGCTAAAAGCATGCAGAGGGTGGGCAGGCTATCTGCATGAGTCACTGTAGGACCCACAGCACTGGGTTTCCATTCAGAATTCCAATTCGTCCAGGACTATGTTAATCTTCAGAAGTGGGTTTTCGTGTCCCTGAACAAACTTCTGTCATGGTAGGTCTTGCCTGCTTGAAAACTTACTGGTGCAAGTCTTAAGAGTTTCTCCTTCTTCCTCCCTCTTTCTCACCTTCTTGGCAAGACAGGTCCAAGGGTCATGTCTCTCTTTTGTTGCTCTCCATTAGGCTCTGTGGGTATCCTCCTTTCTACGATGAAAATGACTCCAAACTCTTCGAGCAGATCCTTAAGGCGGAGTATGAGTTTGACTCTCCATATTGGGATGACATCTCTGAGTCTGGTAAGCAGCTACTGCTCATTTAATTGCAGCAACCACTTATGCATGCATGCCTGTTGCAGAGGATGTTCTCTGGGCATGAGAATGCTCCCTCCATCATGTGTGGGGCTCCTTTTAACTGAAAACCATTGGGGATGTGCATTTCCTTCAGCTCAGATAGTTACAAGACTTTATTTCTGCAGGAGAGTAAATTAAGTACCATTTTGTCTAACCACAGACAAAGCAGTAAAACGTAGCTGGAACAGAAGATGAAGATAACAGAAGACTGTCCCAAGGAGACAAAGCAGTTTAATTTCTCCATCATATCCGACTGAAAAGCAGATGGTTTATGTGTCATTAATAATAAGGCAGTAAACTCATTTGGCTGTTACTGACACCGCACTGCAGGTCCAAAGCAGGTCTACAGTCTATGCAGCAAAGAACCCAAGAAATTAATGGCTTCCAAATGAGTTGGGTGAGCAGATTTAGAAACTAGGAGTACTGTCCAGGTGGTTGGATCCAGACAGCTGCCCATATGCTCACCCACTTCCCCACCCACTGCAAAAGACATTTAACCCATGGTGCGTGTCCCTGCTGTAGTCAGTCTGGCAGAGAGGCAGACGTACCGATCTGTTACAGGCAAATACACCTAAAGGCTTCTGGCTCCAGCATGGCTCACGGTCTGCCAGCATCTGCGTCCATAGGTGACAGCAGGGACTTGTTCAGCACTGCAGCCTGTGTGTGCCTCTGTCGTGCTGTGTGGTCTCCAAGAGGTCAGGCGAGCTCAGTGTCCTTGCTGTGTCCAGCCCAGGGGAACATCTGCCATTTCATGCCAGAGACAAAATGAATTCTAGGAATATTTTGTCATACAAAAATATCCCTAGAAATGCAGTTTTCTGATTCATTAGTGCTACTGATTAAGGCAAGGGAGATATAAAAACAAGTGGTTAATTTTAAAGATGATTATATTTCCTGTTACCTCTGCATAGGACATTTCATCCTGCTTACATCTGCGGGACAGATATCCTTGTGATACATTGCTTCAAAATATATGGGATGAGAAGTTTTTTCATGACCATAAGAGTTTTTGAAGAAAATATGAATGTCTTCTGGCAGACACCTTTGCATTTTGGGAGAAAGACTGTCACCTAAATCAGCACAAAGATTTTTCTGCTATATTTGGCTTCTCTGTGGCTCCTTCAGCTACTCTCTCCTGAAACTACTGGATGCATGCCATGCTGTGATCTCCCTTCCTTCCATTAGAGTGTTGATTAAAAACACACTACTTCATGCTCAAGGCAGTCCATTTCCCTCGGTAACTTGTTTTTAAGTACTCAGCATGTCCTCACAGCTGCCTGAGTGTGATTGCTTGGAGGGAGCAATGAGAAGCCACTCCTACTGCAGCATCAGACCTCCTACTTGCCTTTCCTGCTCAGTTTACCAGCATCTCCAACAGATGTGGCCATACTGAGACCACTGAGATACTCAGAGGCACTTGGCTGACCAGAGAGCTAGGAGCTGGCAGGCTTGAACTCTGCTGACTCTGAATTATCCATCCCTCTCCTAAATATACCTGCAGGACTCGATGCCTTTAGCTGTTGTCCACCATACTAAATAACTTGGATTTTGTCCTAAGCCACTTTGGTTGTACCTATACTAATAAATGACAACTGACCCAGGGCCATTTTCTGATGCTGTGGCCAGATGGCACTTGGTAGTCTAGTTAATGCTGTTGGCTGATCATCCTGTATCAAAACTGGGCATCGACCCTATTGCTTTAAATTATCATCTTTTTTTTTTTTTTTTTTTTTTTAACAGCTAAAGACTTCATTCGGAATTTGATGGAGAAGGACCCTAACAAAAGATACACCTGTGAGCAAGCAGCACGGCACCCTTGGTAAGAAACAGTCACTGCTGTGCAAAACCCTCAGGACAAAAATCACTGTTTTGCGTTCATAGGTTGAAGTTTTTTTTTTCTGTCATGCATAATACTAACCTCTACTAAATAACTTTGTGCTTTTACTCTTACAACCCCCACCTTCATCATCCAGATTTCCCTATAACCATGATGTAGTTTAATCTTCTGCACCAGGCTGTTGAGTATCTGTGTGAGGATTCAATAAAATGCTGAATTATGTATGTTGACTGTAGTGCAGCAGTGGAATATGTCAAAAGGATTGAACCCAGAAATCATATTCTGGGGCAAAAGGTCAAGTTCTATAGGTATGCAGAAAGCTGGGTATCAAGCTGCTCACGAGGTCCTTGCCAAGGTAATATCAGAGCACTTAAGAGTATCCCATGATATAGGAAGTCATCATCTGTGCTTCACAGATAATAGTCCACCTCCTGCTTGCAGTAAAGACCTGGTTTCACATGCCATTTACCCTTTCTTTTTGAATGGAAGAGATAGGACACCCTGGAGAGGGATAATCTGAATCAGCCACAGCAATGCTCTCTCTGCAATGACTACAGAAAAGTACCTTCAGAATTTAGACCTCTGTTAAGTGCTTTAGAGGCATCATCTTTTGATGATGCCTCTGCACATGGGTGACTTCACCAATGATACTCAAGGATTATGTAGCTGAAACAAGAATGGCTGATGTACTTTTGACCAACCCTGAGAGAGTTAGTATCACCACACGACCAACTGCACCCAAAACTGGGCTTTAGATGTAGCTCTTTTAGGGCAGGGATCAGTATATACGAAGTGAGATATTATTTTGGCTGTTACAATAGCCACAACAGAAAGGTGTCTACAGCCTGACATTTTCACCCCAGGTGTGCATTAGTCTGAGGTTTAGTGCTATCACAGTTACCACAAATACCATTTCCTTTTGCAGTTTCTGGAGCGCTGGCTGGATAAGAGCATTAGGCTGTGCATTTGCAGGGGAACAGAAGTTTTTCCTGAGTGTCCACAGGCCCTCAGAAAAGCAGCCAGGCCAGTGTCATAATTTGCTCCACAGCTTGATGGACCACAAAACTGTCCTGGCAATGCAATTTGAGTCCTGGGCCTAGGTGGAAAGTGAATCCTTTTAAAGGTTTTTACTGTTTTGGCTTACTTGCTGACAAAGTTTTACCAATAAACAGGCTGATGAATTACCCCCATCATAAATTAATAGTTTGGCACTCATGAAGGCATTCAGTAAGCTGTGACTAGCTGAGTGGCAGAAATACAGTGAGATGGCACTGATTTCTTCATAGTGGGAATGATGTACCGATGTCTAACTGCAGTGTCAGCTGCTAAGATTACAAATTGGGCTGAAGATAAGACTGAGGCTCAGCCTTTACAATTAACAAGTTTTAGGAAGGGCTTAGGATGCCAAAGGAAAGGTAAATCATCGAGGAAAGCAAGGTTGTTGCTTTTCATTCTCTGTGCCAATGCCAATGAACTACATTTTATAGATGGTAATTAACTGCACCAGTGGCTGCCATCAATACAAATGAGAGACAAGGAGAAGTCAAGACCTGAGCCTGCCTTTTGTCCAGTGTCCTATCAATAACTGTGTTGTCTGTATGACAAAAAGGAAATCTGGGAAATGAAATCCAGCTTTTGCAAGCTGAGAAAAAAAAGAAAAAAATCTAAATTATACTGACCTGAGCCTCAGGAAATAAGCAAGTTCCAAAAGTCAATACCAGAAATACAGAATAAACAATGGGAATGCAACTCCCAGCAGAGAATGAGGTGACCATTTTTATAACTCAGAGGCAGATTTTCCAAAGCCTTGCATCCAAGATACACAAGACGTAAGCATCCAGCTCTTGGCCCCACTACATCTGTGTTGGTTGCTGGAGTGCAACAAAGAAACGTGGCACTTGTAAGGCACACAGCTTCTGGGCCCTCCTAAAGGAACAAAATGATAAAAAGTGTTTTCATTCCCGTTATTTTTTTTTTCTTTTGCATGTCATGGACAGGAGCCAATGGAAACTCACAGACTGCTCCGTAATTTTTTATATTTTCTACAGAAGACAATCTTCCATTTGAAAACAACTCCCAAAAAAGGCTTTTTTCCCATTTCTGTGGCAGAGGTTCTTCTTCTGCCAGGCTGACTTTGCAAGGCAGTAGTTCATTTGCAGGGCTACAACCCAGCCATGTAAAGCATGGCTTTGGGTCAGCCTTTGGGATGTTAGACATGCAAATGGCACTGCAGTAGGGAGGGTTAAAATGGCCACCATGTTTCCACCCCACATCCCAAATGTACCTCCCTTCAACACAGAGGCAACACATGCCAGTGGATTACAGAAGGAGAGTTGTACAGTGAAATAAAAGTATGGTTTACAAAGATGTGGCTTCAGACCTACCTCTGTCCCCCCCCATGAGCTCTTGAGCAAAAACTTGGTATCTTATTCCTCCTTGCTCTGAAAAGCTTCTTCTAACATAAATGTTGCAGTTATGGACTTCTCTGGAGAGTGGTGCAGTGATTTTTTTGAAGGGTTTGGATCCTGTAGTGATAAATGCTACTAAAATACCTTTTTGGATAATCAAGGCTACTCACCTGGATATTATCTGTCATTTCCCAGTTAGTGATAGGATCTCATTTTGCCAAGCCATTGCTCAAGAAGCATTTTCCACCCAGACGGCTTATGCCAGGAAATAATGAGGGTTTTTACTGCTTCTTTTCTCATTCTAGCCATTTTATCTGTTGTAATGCCATCCACCCCTCCCTTTTGAAGAAGAGGAATTTTTGGTGGTGAAGGACAGCTCTGTTCTTCCTCTCAGTGGTCAGCTGTGTCATTCTCTCAGCCTGGGCATATTTAAGCTTCCACCAGATCCAGGCTTGAGTTCCTCACTCCCATGTTTGCATTCAGTTGCAGCAGTCAGAGATAAAGGTGCGAGGGTTTAGGAAATGGAGAGAGCTACTGGAGACAGGCTGTCGTGGCTTTTCCAACGGGGCATCCTGTGCCACCTTTTCATAGGAACGTGTATTGCTCAGCACACATCTGCCAGCAGCCTCACCTTCCACAGTGTCCACATAGTGTTGTCTTCTCTATGTGTGATCAGAAGTTATGAGACATGTGAGACTACTGGCTTAGTGGAAGGAGATGGTCAAAGCAGACTTCAAGTGGTCCTATAAGTTATATGCTCTTGCAGAGTGCTTACATTTCAAGTAGCCCTTGATGACATCTCATAAAAGGTTTATTTTTGTCTGCACAACTGGTTCTGTAGAGCAACGTAACTGGGTAAGCATCTTTGGACCCTAGAGTTTCAGGAAGTGAAATCCTGATTCCACTGAGGTTAATGGGAGTTTTGCCACTGACTTCAGTGGGAGTTGGGGTTTGTCTCCTTGTCTCACCAGCAGAACACAGAACATCTACCCAACACACTGGTGCTGTGCAAATGGTAGATAATTAATATATATGACAAAGTGTCTCCATGTTGTGTCATTTTTCAGCTTTCCCTTTGTCTTCCTCCTGCAAAATCTGCCCCTGTATTATCAGATCATTTGGATCAGCCACAGATTCTATCAAATCATGAGAAGAAAATCATGATTTGAGATCATCTATCACAGAAATCTGTCAAATCAGGAGCACTTACCAGCTATGTTATAATCCAGTTATGATACTCTGATTGAGATGGCTGGCTGGCCATCAGATTTTGTTGTTTCAATATATAACATTTGTTAAGAACAAACTGATTGCAGAAATACCTCTTATTACACCTCTTTTTTTAATTATCGTGTCTTTTTATTAAAAATTTTCAAACAAGGCTTGCAAGAACTGGATCTTGGAAGATATTACATTCGTGCCTTTAAGGTTAATAATCTCTGAATTTCGGGAAACTGCTCTAGAACAGCCAGCTATTCACATGACTAAATATTTGTACAGGATCAGACCCTAAAAAAAGTAAATACTCCTTCCCAATGGCCCACTTTTCTGTTCTGTATCTGCTCCACACATGCCTGCATTTACGTGATATTTTGCTATTTATAATCAAATGGCCTTGGCAGGGGGACGGTATGTTAAACTCGGAGCTGGCAGAAAAGGAGGCTAATAACTGCAGTGAAGTATGGTAGCTGAAACAGTACAATGGGTAAGACTTGTTGGTATAATGATTACACCCCAGCCAGCACAATCTGTCCATTTATACGGTTTTCTCCAGTTTAATCTGCAGGTGACCTATGCTTTCCATTGGAAAAGTTATTTATTTTATAGCCTATCTTCCACTGAGGTTTGCACTGTTTATGGTGTGTTGCAAAGGTGCAATGTTCTGCTTAGTTGTTCCACTGTGACTCTTTGAAAAGGACGTGGAAAACGAAGGCAACAGAAGAGTGGGGTGATTTTGATACATTTTAATGTTTCCCCAGTTCATATTAATGGCAGCAATTACATTTATTAAATATATAGCCATGTCAGAACCCACATCCTGGTTAGGGCAATCACTCGGGCTGCAGTGATTAAGGTCGAGCAGCAGAAACCAAAGAACCTGTGTTTTTTTCCAGCTATAGGATCATGCTGCACTCCCTGTCAGGTCAAGCTGGGTCCTGCAGCCCCAAATGCAGCAATCCATGCTCAGGTCAGAGGAAAAGAAAACAGTTCTCAGAGGGTGAGGAGAAGTCCAACAGTTAGGAAGCTAATATAGGAATTGGAAGGCGTACTGTGAATTTCTGTGCTGTGTCACACATTACCCAAGAGACTTTAAATGGGATTTAGAGCTGTGTGCTGAAGCCAGTTATGGCACTGAAGGCAACTTGGCACAAGTTAATTCAAGGGTGATGTATGTAGTGCTTCCCTGTATAGACTGTGTCGAGAAGAAGGAGGTTGTGGCACCTAAAGCAGACACCTGAGTCCGTGGGTACGAGTGTGGCCCTCACCTTTGCCCACTGCTTGTGCAGAGGGAGAACTGGGACATGCCAACGTCCATCCCCACCTATGCCAAAGATTTGTAAGTCTTTGGCAAGGACTGAGCCTCTGCAAATTGTAACCATGACCCTGAGTGTTTATTATGTGCCAGAGAGCACGAGCCAGATAATAACTTTCACCCAGGGAAAGGCCATGGTTTACAAAGAGCTCATTTCTTGGACGATGTTGTTTGAAGTGTGAAAAGGGCTCCCTGAAGGGAACTGCTGATGTTTACAACGTTAAATCAAACTCTTATCGAGTTTGTCCCTGCACTCTATTTATTTTGGAGCATCACTGACACAGTATGTGTGTATGTATGTTTATACGTATGCATGTGTGTATATATGTATGTGTATGTATAGAAGAGTTATGAACTTTCAGCATTATCCATTACAGCTAACTTCATGTTTCCTGTCATCATACTCAAGAGCATTTCCAAGCACTGTTTGGCCAGCACAGCGTTTGAGTTGGCTGCCTTCAGCATGAAGGTTCAGAGTATAATGGTAGATGAAAGACTCTGCTTGCTGTCGTGGGCAGGGAGGATGTGAGAGACATATGCTTGCAGTATGCTAACAAAGAACTGTCCAAAAGGAAATTTACTGGGTTTGTCTTTGTTGGAGGTTGCTCTCAAAGCTTAGAAGTGGTATGGCCAGATATATTTCTGTAATAGCTTTGAACCCAGATATAGAGATAAAATAAATTAGATACTATGAAATATTTGATCATTAGATTAGATTCCTCTCATGTGCAGGGCTAGATTTGTTATGGTTATTCATGAGAAATACCCTTCATAGCTTCAGTAGAAGTATATGTGGTGGAGTGTCGTGAAATTGTGGCCCTTGGTGTCCAGTTATGTGTCGAGACACATATATTTACAACTGGATGTAAGCCCAGATTCAGCACAAAGTTCTCCAAACCATTGTTAGGAAGTAGATGCTTTCAAGTGCTACAAAATGAGGACTCGAAGAGAAAAGCCAGGTTCCAGTTAGGCTAATCAGCCTACTCGATTCTGGGTGATGCTCAGCATGATAACAAATCAGACATTATTCTGATTTGCTTAATTTTCTATTTTTATATGCATGTGGTAGATAGAAGTAATATCTTTTACTTTTTACTGGGCCAACTGGTATAGTCAGTAAAAACAAGCTTCAGCTCTGACACAGTTAACTTCAAAGTTAACCGCAAGCCCAAGAACTGTTGCTAAGGATTTGACCAGATATGCATCAGTTTGATCATCTCTGAAGCAGAAGACGGATGTTTTCAGGGAAAAAGGAGCTGATTCCTTCAAGAGAAGGGTATGTTGCACAAGGGATGGAGGGAGGAAGGAAGAAAGATGCTAAGATATTTTGGTCCTCAAAGGAAAAGCAAGATGGTTTATAGCCTGTGGACTTGGAGAGCTAGGGGAAGGTGGAAGGGTGATTATAATGTGCTCTAAAACCAATATCTCTATTAAATTTAGTTCATTATCTTCTCAGCATGGGAATTAAAGTTCATGATTAAATGCATTCAGTATAGATGTGATGATGCTCATGATACCTACCTCGGGGTTGGTTTGTGTGGCCAAAAGCTTATCTCATATTTCAAACTGTGCCAGTTGATCATATAGAAGATACAACTTCTACCTGTTCTTCTGCCCCACCTCTCTTGCTTGTGCCCTCAAACCACCACAGCTCCAGCAAAACACTGACAGTGAACAGCCATTAACATTTCTTTTGTTTTCCTTGAAGTAAAACTGTGTTATTTTATACAATTGAGTCATGAAAGTTTCAAGATCCTCCAGGTACAAATCACGGTGTAAAAGCACAGTCCTCCTGTTACCGCGTTGCACCATTAACAGGATAAGCTCTTCAGAGGCAGCCTGGAGAATGATCCCATACCTGGCTTTGGCAACCAAGGCTGTTTTGAGCCACACTGTTGGGCGTACTGGCAGGCACTCGAATGGATCCTGCTGTGCTAAATTAGCCCCAGCACTGCTATTATTTTGCTCTGATAAAAAACCTAGCATCTGCAAGGTGCTAATGCTGCTGAAGAGGCCTTGAATGTAGGATGGTCCCCACTGTAGGATCTGAGGGCTTCACAGGGTGTCTGTCCATCCCCTTGTGAAGTCGGCAAATACTATTCTGCTTATTTAGGAAACAACCAAATATCAAGACTTTTTTTCTGCAATTCTGAGAAATTCATGGTAAGCATAGAGTTAGTGGTGGTAGAAGACAGTTTATGAGCTATTGGAACCGCCAGTGTCTTACTGAAACCACCGGTATTTTAGAAAATGATACCTGAACTCCAAAAAATATATAGCCTGAGCCTTGAGCTACATGCCTAATGAAAAGTTTCATATAGCAAAAATGCATTTGCAAGTCCTTGTGGAGGCTGGCAGGAAAGATCTTCTGGAAGAGCTGGCAAGGATATCAGACCCCAAGAACTTGTTCTGTCAGTGTTTCCAAAGTAAAATTTGACCAGTGGGAAATGCGATCAGTGCTTCTACAGCTTGTTAATGAACTTGTTCATAAAGCAAAATGCTCCATTAGCTTTGGAGGAAAAGCTAATGTGCAAGTGTAAGTAAATTTTCTCTTTGCTTCATCTTTTTGATCAGTTCTCAGCCAAACACCTCTCCTCCATCAACAGCACAGGGACCCAGGAGAGAATGTCAAGTACGATTTGGGAGCCACGCTTTGCTCACGGTACCAGTTCTTCTGTCTGCTGGAGACAGAGGTTATGTGGCAGAGGCAGTCAGACAAGTGCCATTCCCAGTTGGTGGTGGGCTGCCCTGAACAGGAGCCCTGCTGCTTCCTGTCCACAATCCTGCTGGCTCCAATAGTCTTAAATAACTCAGTGTAGATTAGTTCAATTGCAACACCGGATAGGATTGGTGACTTTCCGCTCTTGGGAGATGGAGGTTTAGTCCCTCACCTTCCCCCCAAGAGTAAGTAGTTCCTCTCACCTCTCTGACATCCTGGCTGGGTGTTGCCAGCAGGAAAGAGGAGAGCAAGTTGGAGAAGACTGGTCCCAGAGAGCACTTCTTAGATGTGCCATTGACATGAAGGTAGAAAGGGCTGCATTTCCTTTGAAGAACAGGGTTACTTTTTGGAATAATCTGTGCAAAATGAAAGGAATGTCTCCAATCCATAGGACACATAAATGGAAACAGCAGGCTGGGGTATGTAAGCAGAGTTTCATCTTCTAAGAGACAAAAAGCAATGCTGCCATTCTGCTGCCTTAGTTGGAAAAGAGTGAACAGTTTGGGTACCGCCCTCTAAGGAAGATGTGGACTGGTTGGAGAAAGTCCAGAGGAGCTCACTAGATCAGAGGATTAGAAAATATGAGTTATGAAGAAACAGTGAAAGAATCAGTTTGTTTAGTCTAGAGAAGAGAAGGCAGAGAGAAGACATGATAACAGTCTTCAAATATGTGAAAAGATGCTTAAAAGACAAAGGGAATTAACTATTTTCCATGTCTTCTGGGAGATAGTGGGGTACTGGAATAGGTTGTTTGAGGAGTCTGTCTTTTGGAGATCTTTAAGAACTGGTTAGCCAAATGCTTTTCAAAATTATTTTGATAGAGCTGGGGTGGGAGGACAGACCAGATGACTGCTGAGTCCTCCAGACCCTCAGATTATTTTATTGGAGGTCCTCAGACCACAAGGCTCTGGTCCTGATGAGTTATTCAATTTCTTATATTTTTATATTTCTAATGGACATTGATCTTCTACACTATGACTGAAAAATTAATTTCTGAAAACATCATGTACAGCACAGGAGGAAATCTTTGCTTCCTGGCCTCACCTATGTGACATAGCACTAATTAGCCCAGCACATGGCCCAACGTCAGTTCACTGTGGTGCCTACTCTTCCAACAGTTCTCATGCCTTGAGAAGTTAAATGAACCAATAAAATTCCCTTGAAATAATTGTGTTTAGTTGAGTGTGTATTTATCTGGTAAAGAAACTGCACAAGATCAGTCAATTTTTTAGGCTGAGTGTTGTTCAGCTTGTGCTGCCTTAGTGAGCGCCCTTATATCTGCTTTACTCTAAATACATTAATCATGATGAATGGCTGTTTGTTGCAGGGTGGCAGGAAAATCTCCAGTGCAAACAGATATTAGACAGGTTGGAGTGGCTCTGGAAGCTGCTGCGTGGCTGAGGCTAAAAGTAGTCTCAGCCTGTTGATGTTAACTCTTTAGATGTAAAGAAAAAAAAAAAAAAGGTAGAATGTTTTCATCTAGGGTTGTACTGGTGATAGAAAGCAGCCGTGCACCAACAAAATAAGGTTGTACTTCTTTGTAGCTGCCAGAGCTACAAGCCTTATCTATACTTGCTTTTATTGCCCCAGATTTTCCACCAATGCTGCCAGCAGAGACAGCAGTGGGGAGTCTGAGCCCTTGTCCGAATGAAATCATCATCACTGCAGGAGCAATCACACCTTACTCCAGCCTTCCCTGTTGAGGATAATAATAGAGTATTCAAGGAGAGCAAAAGATCTCTTAGAATTTGTCTTGTCTTTCTGTTTCAGGATTGCTGGTGATACAGCACTCAACAAAAACATCCACGAGTCGGTCAGCGCTCAGATCCGGAAGAACTTCGCCAAAAGCAAATGGAGAGTAAGTGACCTGTCCTCAGGGATGATGCTTAGGCACATCAGTCTGTTAATGTGGTGGCCATACGGCCACACTTCCAGCATGTTAGTGCTTTCATGGCCCAAAATTCTGGTCAAAATAGTTGGTTCAGACTTAGGCTACGTAGTAGATGCTACTAACCAAGTCTATAAATGTCATGAGTATGAGATATGGGGCCGTGGCTGCTCATAGCTAAAGCACTTGTGGTTATTATGTGTGGAGTCAGGGTCAGCACCACGGAGGGACATGAAGCAATGTGGACACTCCATGTGTTGGTTCAGGGAAGGATGTATCACATAGGATTTTGTCTATAGGCTGCTGCATCGCAGCTCAGTGCCCGAAGGAATAACAAGGAGCAGACCAGGGCAGAAATGTGTGTGGTTTGATGTTACTGTTTCTAGCTTAGAAACTAGAAACTGGGAGAAGTTTGAATGACTTGATATCATACATACAGAATCACATCATAAAGTGTTTCGGGTTGGAAGGGACTTTTAAAGGTCTTCTGTTCCAGCCCCCTGCAGTGAGCAGGGACCAGGTTGCTCCGAGATGATGAGCTCATTCCCTTCCAACAACACCTAACAGGAGAGGAGCAGAAGTAACCCTTCTAACTCAGATTTTTAAATCCTTCCTTTCTTTCTTGTTTTTCCTCTGCAGCAAGCGTTCAACGCCACAGCGGTGGTGCGGCACATGAGGAGGTTACACCTGGGCAGCAGCCTGGACAGTGCCAGTGCCAGCGTGTCCAGCACCCTCAGCCTGGCCACACCTCTGCCCGACGCAGCCACGCGGAAAGATTGTGAGTAGCCAACAGCCTGGGGAAGCTCCTGTCACCCCAAATTCGTGGGATCCCCATTTTCTCCTTGACCCCCAGGCTGCAGTCCTCGCTGCCCGCAAGTTCAGCTTCGTGCAAGCAGGTGTTTAAAATAAAGACTGAAAAAAGGACCCAAGCCTTTGTTTTTAGCTGGCCCAAAAAATAATGATCCAATTAGAGAAGTTTATATGTTTAAAAAATTAAAAAAAAAAAATAATTTTGAAAGAAAAATAGTGTTTCTTGGGGAGAAAAAGGGCTTTTGCTTGGGAAAAAGACCCAGACCCCCACAGCAAAGAAGTTTTCTATTTGACTGAAAACTGAAAAAGTTTACTCAAACTGTTTATGTTTGAGTTTCCAGTATTATGATAAGACATTTTTTATGTAAAAATTGGACTACTTTCCATTTCCATTTTCCATGGAGAAGACTGATCCTGCCAGTCTGACCCAGCTCCTCTCTTCTTGGGCCAAATTAAACTCCTGTACAAAGAGGATCATTTGTCTGAGCAGGGCTCGGGCTCTGTACACCACAATGGGACTTGGCCCGCTGCCTTGTTTGTTTTATGCTATAATTGGGATTTGCAAGCTGCCCAATGGAGTCAGATGCTTGGGTTATATATTTTTTTTCTGAGTGCCAGGAAAGGAGACATGACAGTGAAGGGATCGTTTGGAAGACAGGAATGTGTCCTTTGCAAGGAAGCCTATTTAATATCTGGCTTCTGAGCATTTCTTTTATTCCCTTCTGTCCATTTGTAGAGATTTTCATATCATTAAATGGAAGGATGTGGATTTTACAACTAGAGGAGTTTATTTTAAGGTGTGGCACCAGAAAGGAATGCTAACAGCTTATGGGATTGGAAGTCCTTACTTCACTGGGGACTGAAGTGGTCATTTCTGCATCATATCCCTCACTATTCTGGACCTAAAAGCACCTGCTATTCAGGATGGAATTTGGATGGCACTGCTGTCTGTCTCTGCCACCTCTGCCTGCCAGCTCTGCTCCTTGATGAGGGCATGCCCCCAACTGCAGTCCCTGTGGCTCTGTATGGAAGCTGTGGTCCCTCTTGCTGCCATGGGCATGGTTTCCCCCATGGCTGGGGTGGCATCTGCCTTCTGGGTTCTGTGTGAGACGTTTTTACCCAGCCTGTGCTGTGACTGAGCCAGAGGAGAGCCCTTTCCCTCTGCATCCAGGGCCTGATGGGGATTCATGCCCAGTGCCCACTTTGCAATGCCCAGCACCAAATCCTGCAGCTACTGCTGAAGAAGCATCCTGTGCTCCTGGCATACATCTGGCAAAGGAGTGACGTGGTACTGACCAGCTGCAAAGCACTTCCAACCATGCACTACCAATACAGTGATGCAGAAAACCCCTTAGAGGGGAGAAACATGCCTTTATTTTGGTTCCTGCTGCAGTATGGCTGAGCTGGACCCCGTTAGGCCTAGAGCATCTGATGGCATGCTTGGCTGTTATAACTGAGGGGTGATTAATCTCCATCCATCCATTTGATTAATCTCAAATGGTGTTAATTAATAGCACTGAGTAGTCTGAGTAGTAATGGAAAAACATCTGTGAACAAGAAGGGTGGGAAGAGAGCAAAGGCTGTTTAACCATTACAGAATCCAGCAGGTCCTTCTACAAAATCTGATTGTATTTTGCAGTGGTGAAGTCAGCCAGGATACAAAGAGTAAAACTAAATGTCTTTTTTTTTTCCATGTCATAAATACAAGGCAGAAAAGTATCAAAAGATTTCCAAGCATCCCAGGTTAAGTCCAGCTTGTCAGACAATACAGAAGAGCTTTCCTTCCTCAAAGAAATTAATTAAAGAGTTGGGAGAAGCTGGAGCAGGAGAGACTAGTGAGGAGACCCAGCAGCAAATACAAGGAGTGACACTAAGAAAGGGCTGACATATCAAATGTACTCCACCACCCAGCTCCTGTTGGGAAAAAGGAAACCTCTGAGGTCTCTGTCCTGCCTCTTTCTTTCTCAGCAGCTTCCTCTGGGGACAGATTTCTTGCACGAGAAAGATCCCGTGCAACAAGTTACATGAAACAGCTGTGCCACCATTACAAAGTACAATACTGCCTAGTGCTATTAATAGACATTTAATGAGCTCTCCAAATAGTTTTGAATGCAGCAATTTTACACCATTGAAGACAATTAAATGCAGCCCTTGCCTGAGAGCAGGTTATGCCAGGCTGCATCCTAGTTCTGTCTGCTGTATTGGGGCAGAGCAGAGATTATGCATTAGGCTGGGTTATGCTACCTGTCAGGAGAGCCCAAGTGAATCAGTTGGGATTTCTCAAGTGTATTAGCCTGGTTCTCAGTCCATGTCTGGTTTATTCTGTTTAGACATGATTGGACTCCCTAGATTAATTACAGGACCTAGATCACTGTATTTTTAAGATAATAGATAAATTACAGCATAAAACCAATGTGTCAAATGTCAACACTGCTGGGAAACAGGATGTGGCCAAGTGTAGCTACAGCATTGTCATCCCTGAGGTTGAAGTGCCACCTTGAAGATGGAAAAGTAATTAAAGGTCATAGCAAACCTCACAAAGATCCTGAGTAGTCAAGAGGCCATCTCAAACTCCAGTGCGAGAATATATTAATACAGATTTCACCAGGCTGGAAAGATGAACTCTATTTCTAATCATTCTGAGCCCAAATCCTGTGAGAGCAAGGTGACCATGCCAGGTCCCCATTTGGCAGCTTTTCTTGCACCAGATCTACCTTTGCACATCAGTGCCTACAAGGCTGCAAAATTGCATGGAGAGCTGCATGTGCCAGCAAACTCTAGGGCTCTCCCCTGTGGGGTCTCAACAGCTGCTGAGAGAGTGGTGGTTCATCCATGGAAAGCTCTGGCAAGGCTATGTTTTACTTCTCTTCATTAATGCTTTCCATAGAAACTGCTGACGTTGTGCTAGAACAGCAAAATCTTGAATCTGCCATTCGGAACCCAGCCTACTTTGGGTTTTCAGAGGTTATGATTTGGAGGGTTTTGGTTTTTAAGCCGTGGTGGAGGGTTCCCTGGAAGCAGACACTTTCTATAAACTCTTTAATTTAGAATAATTCCTCCCCTCCTTTTTTGTTTTTCCATAAAAAATACCTGTCAGAAGTCTTTGATTAGTTCAAAAGGAACTACATGGGTACATTCTGAGTCCAGATACTCAACTGATGTCAACCTACATGTCTTAGCTGAATGTCCTGGAGACATACCAGCAAAACCTGGAGTGACAAAAGCTAATGCTAGAATGATGTTCAAGTCACACAAATTTACATTCCCTCTAGGTTTAGTGGAACCCGCCAATGGATTTGACCTAATGTCCTTCTTTATCAGCAGCTTTGCAGGGTGCCTGGGGAAATTTTTTCATCCAGGTGCACAGTCAGTTTGTTTAGCTAGACGGCCACTATGAGAAGTTGAATCATCTTTAACATGCCTGCGAGGAAAATTGTTCTGAGCGAGTACAGTTCTGGAGGGATTTTTGGATCCCACGACTCTTTGTCTTCAGCTCTAGAAATGTGGAATCAGCCTGGCTGGACATATACCAAAGCTGGACATGTATTTATTGCAACGTGCATAATGCAGCTGCTGGTGGTGTCAGCAGGCGAAGGGCTGTGGGCCAGGAGAGCAGAAGATGCCCCGTGGAGTACCCAGCCAGCCCACCCCTGGGAGAAGAGCAGGAGCACCATTTCCAGCTGTGGTCCCCTCCGCTCCTTAGCCTGCTGCAAAAAGAAACTCAGCTTTGCCCACACCCCCGCCTCCAAAAATAACATTTCTAACTCTGTTTCTGGCTTTCCTTTTAGGTATGTCTCCATCCACTCTCTGTAGTTTTGTTTCATCTGCTTCTTCAGGCGTTTCTGCGGTAGGAGGGGAGCGGAGACCCAGACCCACCACAGTGACCACAGTGCACACAGGGAGC